TAGGCAACGCCCGACTCAAGGAAAGCAAGCGGACGATAGTCCTGGTATTTCGCCGCGTTTTCCAAAGTACGGGCTGCCTTGCGAGACCGATCAGCTCACCTTCCACATGGCTTCAAGATGCTGCTGCTGCTGCTGCTGGGAGCTGCGGTGCTATACGACTGCTGCGGTGGTGAGTTCGCTTGTGTCCAGACCGTCGGCCATGCGGCTCTTTTATACGGTTCGCGTCGGTGAGACCACACGCTGCTTGGCCGGGATACATGCAAAAGACGTCGGTCCAGATGCACTGTGATCCACTATTTTGCCTTTTTAATTCATTTCATTTCCGGCCTGCCTCCGCCACGTCGCTGCGCACCGCCTTGCTGTCACTTGTCCCGCACGTAATGGGATCAGGCTTGGGCAAGGGCGAGTCTGTCAGGAGAGACGCCTCTCACGCTGTCCTGGAATCATATCGTTCATCGAACACGCTCGCTGGTCATCGATACTTTCAACGCCGCTATTCGAATGCCGTGTGGGCTGCACGCGCCGATCTGAACAGTCAGTGGCGTCTCGGCGTTTGCTGTAGATGGCCAATGAATGTCGGTTGGCGTCGCCTGGCGGAACGCATATTTTCTTTAGACGCATCTTGCAAATGAGCAAAGACAAAGTTGCCCGTGAATCTCGAGGCGATGTACTACATTAAGCAATTTGGTGAACAATGCATCATTATGAATTTGCTTTTTTATCTGATAGGTTGTGATAGTTCTGGCTTTTCGTGTGGTTCTACGCTTGCGGGGGGTTTCAGAAGATGAGCTTCGGTTTAACAAAAGTCAGTTGCGAGTGTGCGCTTTTCCGTGTCTCTTCTTTCGTGCACATCTTCTTTCGAGATTGCGCCAAGGATGTTTTAGACAGCTATACACCAACTATTCTGACAGCATACGTTACTGAGCTATCATTCTATGAAGTTCGGGGATATTTGAAAGAAGAAACTCGCAAAACTGTATATAATATAGTGTTGTTGTTGATTGATAGATACGTGGGGTTTAACGTCCCAAAACCACCATATGAATATGTGAGATGCCGTAATCGAGGGCTCCAGAAATTTCGACCACCTGGGGTCCTTTAATGTGCACACAGTTCTGAGAACACAGGTCTACAGCATTCTCGCCTCCATCGAAAACGCAGTGACTGCAGCTGGGATTCGATCCCACGACCTGCAGGTCAGCAGCCGAGTACCTTAGCCACTATACCACTGCGATGGGTCCTTAGTGTTGTGTGTGCTTTCAGCATCTAAAATGTGGATGTCGCCTGAACATCTTATTTAGTCAGGAGAGCACTGCTGCTTTCAAGGAGCCGATTACTTTCACATCCAGCGTTTTTTTTTTTGCATCTCTACTACCTCAGGACAACAGTCGCTCGGGATTTTAGCAGCTACTACCGATGTACAGGAAGTCGCTTAGTTAAAAAAACTGGTCACGGTCGTGTAATAAACCTACGAAGGTTGCGACAAGTGTGGATGTGAAACATTCCATCGTGACAAGGGGCGACGTTGTTCGCGACTAGCGCTTTGTTTCTTCTCAAATGATTACGGTAAAAAAACTTGTGCTTCTGAAGTTATAAGTTTGACTGCACAAGTCTACCCTGTAGTTTGAAGAACTGGTGTTTGAAATTTCTAGTACCTTTTCTCTTACGGCGTACTAGCTTTGAGTCGCGGAATTGCAGTGACAAGCCAACCATACGGTGCACGATTGGTAAATGTGCATTTTTTTTTGTTTCGGTCGTGGATTCGCAAAAAAAAAAACATGGCTGTAACAGTTATTGCGGAAACAATGTAGCCCACTTAAATCGTCATCGTAAACACATTTATCTATAGGACAAGCGGAAGGCCTATCTTCCGCTTGTCCCATATATAGCTTCGGAAGAGACGTTTAGACAATCTGTCTTGTCTTATAACGGTGTTCAGAAGCGGCTGAAAGTGCATGCTTGCGTATACACTGGCCATGGCGCTTGGAGTGGCAGGCTTCCTGACCCCTACTAGTCACTGCCTTACCCAGCAAATGTGCAGCACCATTCGATATCTGGCATTTCGTCGGGAGCTTTCGCTTCAAGCACGTTTTTTTTTCTGACGAGCTTACTGTTTATTTAGTATAATGACATCAGGCTATCGAAGTCTGCAAGTACCGCATTCGATTCGTGTATACTCGACTGCTATAGCCGAGAAGTTTCTTTTAATGTTCTTTACAGGTAATTTTGTCATAGAACAGCATATGTAACAAATCCGAAATTCTTGGCCTATGCACATAAACAGCCTTGGTCGTAACACATGCTAAAACTCTTTCAAAGTTTTATACTTTTAGCGCGCTTGTAAGTGACTATACGGACCGCTTTTAACTGAATAGTCAAGTCCGTGGAGTGAGACGGGATGAGATGGGATGGTATGGATGGATGTGTTACTAATATGAAAGCGGTTGGTTTGCAATCCCACGCTAAGCGAGGAGAAAGGGAAATATATGACGTAATCGGTTGAGCATTTTCGAGCACTCTGGAGCGCTCTGAGATGTGACTGCGCCTTCGGTTGGTAGAGTTTGAGAGCTCGGACTACCTTCGGTTGGTTCCTTCAGAGATCTGCGTCTGAATCTGCGTCTCAACTAAATAAGTAATAATATCTCCTTGGTCCACGCGGGGTCTCTTTAAAGCGGCATCCCGTAGAAAATAAAGTAATGTTTTTTTTTATTATCTTCACGCGGGAAACACAGACGCATTTGTAGGACTATATTCTTCAGCGGTGGCACACGCCCACTTTGGTTCTGTAGCCTTCCCTTCACTGCCACAGAAAGCTGTCTCCGAGTATAGTAATACTTCGCGCACGTGCGTTGTTAATGGTGTTTTCGCGCGTGTGTGAGACGAATGCACATTTACGAAGTGTTACGAAACTGGCCATGGTTCCAACGCCACGGTTCCAAAGAGCGCCGCTGTCACGGGCCGCCAAGGTTGTTCAGTAGCGCGTTTCTCAGCTCGCGGCTGCTTCTGCGCAGAGCTGATACACGAGTGGACAAGACGACGGTGAGTTACGGCAAGATTTATGTACAGCATAGAATAGAGGCGTTACATATTTGGCACTGGGGCCGACACCTTAGGGACTACAAGAGCCGAGGTCTCTTCGGACGCTCTTCTCTCTGACGATGTCGGCTGCTTGGCGACGCGCTGCTTGGCTTTTTTTTTTATCGGCCCCGGGTATTCCTTACGTCAGCAACGTCCAATCAGAACCACCGCTGGCCGTGATGTCAGAATCATTCAGTCAGGAACCGCGGCTAAGTGTCACCTATGAACGAGTGATGTTGCCACGTATTGCGCAAGACTCGCCAAACTGGGTGGCGCCGATTGCATCATCGGGCTGCTATCAGGTCCATGGGTTGAGAGAGCTCGCCTTGCGTTGCGTTGCGAAAGACACATCGGCGCCGCGGGGTTAGGTGACGTCGTTGAGGTGATGGCGTCAGGTGGGCTCGCTCACTGGCCTTGTCACAGATTGCCTTTGCACAGGCAATGACGTTCGGTCTGGTGTCCGAGGCGTAACAGAGCCATAAATGCACCATGTAAATAACCAGGCAGCTAGCGAAGGCGGAGGATAAGTCAATGCTGTCGTTGCAGCAGATTGCAGATAGCCTCGTTATTTGCCTTGAAGATAGTAGCTCGGACGAGGACGATCGCCAGATTTATGCGCTGAGCTCAGAAGACTTCAGCTACATACAGACATGTCAGAAAGAGAGAGAGAGATAATATAACAAAGGTCAGACGTTCCAGTGACGTCCACTAAACTGATCGGCGCCTTTTGTTGACGAGGCGCAGCAATTTGTTTCTTTTTTTTCTTATGTGATTCTTAGAAGAGAGAAAAGAAGGTAAAATTGAGCCCCGTAACGGTCTGCTTCACAGTGCGGCACCTCAACAGTTTACCTCACGAGGGATGAGGAAAAGGAGGGATTAAAGAATTGAATAAATGTGTAGAAATATGCGCGCGTGAGAGAGAGGGGGGGACGAGAGAGCGTGGCACAGGGGCAGCGACATCCAGAAGTAAGGAAAATGTAGGAAAGATGGACATGGTCGCAGGAGTTCGAGGACGGGGCACCACTCAGCGAGAGCTTTTGTCGGTGTTAGGAGATGGCGTAGGGTGAGCCAATCGGCCAGAGCTGCGCTGTTGTCGGAGATCGCGGGGGCACAACCGGTCGGCACGAAACCCAGAGAGCGAGAGCCAATGTTTACTCGGCAGCTTCCCGCGCTGGCTGCGCGGTGGTACTACAGGCGCGCTGCTCTAAGCGCTCTGAGATCGCCGATGTATCCGATTGGTACGCTGCCTCTCCCGCTCCGATTGCGAGCTTCCTCTGCGTCTGGTGACTCTGAGCCAAAGGACCAGAACAGCCAACCGAATACGCCAATAAATAGAAGAGAGCACGACAGTGTAAGCGCACGTGTGCGCTTGCACGGACGTCATGATGCAATCACAAGCGCTCGTACAAGCCGACTGTATTCAAAGAAAAAACATAATAAGTGCTTTCACTGAGTTCTAGGCCGATGGTTGGAGAAGATTGTAGCCCAGTGTTTCATCTAGGTGCTAGGAGCGGCTGGCTGTCTAGTAAGACGATTGCTTTCGACATTGGCTGCCCTTGCCGGTCCCAAGAATACCGTAACTGTGCATTTCCCACAAAGCCGCTGGTGCATTTCATTCCGTGAAGTCTTAAGCAAAGGAAAGGCGAGACGCTTTCGACATTGAAAGTTCGTTTATTTCCCGAAAGACAAGGAAAATGAAGACCACTGTGCGTTTGTACCTACACCTTGAGCTGCAGATCCCCAGGAGTGGCCAGATGTCTTGAAGAAAGTCCAGACAGCGGTTCCAACAAAACACGTGACAATACACTCCAACACCTGTACAGGACAACAGAACGGAAGAGGAGGGAGCATAACTCGACCAAAGAGGGGTGGGGGCAGTCTCGTGCTCAGCGGAGTGAATCCCGAACCAAAGAATGACGAGGTATTCAACAATCCTTGTTCACTGCCAGCCGTGGCCATGCTTTCCGTGCCCTCCGACGCCGCGGAAGACGCCAGCTCCGCCATACAGTCCCCCTACGCCACCGCCGTATCCTCCAACGCCGTAGCCACCGCCGACACCACCGAGGCCACCGAGACCGTATCCGCTTCCGTAACCGCCGTAGGCGCCACCGTACACTCCGCCATAGCCGGCTCCTCCGTATCCACGGGCCCTGTATCCACCAGCTCCTCCGGCAGGGCCGTACTTGGCCGCCAGCTCGGACGCGGGTGGCTGAGCAGACCGGAAAGCCACGTCAGCGGGGCTCTCACTCTGAGTGCCGGGCTCGTTGGTGTCGACACTGGCACGGAATCCAGCAGCGTCAGCAGCGTACTTGACCGTCCTCTGGCCGCCCTCGGCTGTGTTGATGGTGTAAACACCCTGGACGCTGCCGCTGCCGTCGGCGACCTCCTGGCGGGAGCTGGTACCGTCGGGGCCCTGGGCTACGTAGCCGAAGTTGTACGGCTTGGGCGTCTCATCAGCGTACGACCTGTAGCCCTGCGAAGGTGGTGAAAAATTAACGCTGTAAGCCGGACACAACTTTTGAAGCACGCGACATTTCCTCCTCAATGGCGGATGCACGCAAGCCTGCCTCCTCGGGACGCACGCTTCAGGCAGACGCCATGAGATGGACGGCTTCTAACCCCGCCTCGGGAGAACATTTGCCGAGTGCGCGACCGGGAATATTTCTTTATTCATGGAAGCGATTGATTGCCACGCTCCGGTAATGGGTGGGGCCTCTGCGGGCTCCTTATCAGGTATCCCACTATAAACAGGCCCAACATTATCACGTTGTAGTAGACTAACCAGCGACTCGAAAAACGCCAAAAGCTTAGATATCCCCTTCGTACTATTGTTTTGAATACGAGTAACACGTACGGTGATGGCAGCCATTTGGCATACGCTCATGAACGCGGAGCGCTCTAAAGAACGTATACTTTGGAACGCCTTGTGCGAAGTTCTATATAGGGCCTCCGTTGTTTTCAGCCCTTCACCGCCATGGACATGTTTGTACAACAAATGACTGCAAGTACGGCTTAACCTTCGTTGTTTTTTCCTGCTGCACATTATACTTACTCCGCCACCGTAGTATCCGCGGCCGCCTCCTCCGTAGTATCCACCTCCGAATCCGCCGACGCCACCGAGTCCACCTCCGACGAGGCCCCCGTAGCCCCCAACGTAGCCGCCTCGGTAGCCACCACCGTAGCCGCCGCCGTACCCTCCGTAGCCTCCTCTGTACGCTCCACCATAAGCTCCAGCTCCGAGGCCAACGCCGAGTCCAACACCGCCGAGACCGCCCAGTCCAACGCCACTTATACCACGTGCGCCAATGCCGCCGGCGTTAGCCAGGACGACGAGGCAGAGAGCGGGGATCAATACCTGCGATTCACAGTCATTTCTCTATCACTCAAGAACAACAGTGCAAATTTAAGAAAACATTGACAGACAAGCAATGCATAAAACAGGCGTTGTGCTGAGCATATATTTTTTTTTAAACTTGAATATAGACTATAACTACAGCGAAAAAGACCAAGAAAGGACCACACATGTGACATTGTCGTGTCTTCTCTTTCTTGGTATTGTAATTTGCGCTGCTGTTCCAGGGCTATATATCTCAGTTTGTCCATCTCAAATTTTGTGCTGTTCTTCTCGAGATCGTGTACCAACTAGTCCACCCGTACCAGCTCCCTCCCTGGCGACATTCATGACAAACACACTCAGCGCGAGATTGAGTAGTTGTTTCAGCGAATGATTGATCGACAAATTGATCGTGTACAACATTCGAAATACAAATGCTTGACTGACCATATACGCTGCCGATTGTGGGCTCCAGCTCAAAACTTGATATTTGGTATTGCAATGGCATGAGCATAAATTTTGACATCTGCCCCAATTGGAAAGCGATAACCGTGAGCAAGTGATGAACCCGCCACTTCGTGCGCTTCACGCTGCAGCCACAGAGCGAACTTTGTTGGGAGCCACCGGAGGTAGCACTGAGCAAAAGGAGGTAGCAAAAGGAGGTAGCACAGAGCCGAATGAGGTAGCACTACTGTTGTGCTCACTGACACCCGTATACATTGTGGGCTGAATCACGCCACGAGCTTCGATTTGGTTATCATTTCATGCATGCACCATTCGCACAACGAACTGCGCAGTGTCGTGTCAGAAGGCGTCTCGCGTATACGTTGCAAGCACGGGGCTATTACCGCCGCAGTGTGACACTGCTCTTCTGTTGTACGCGTAACTATTACTTCGCATACTGGTCAGAGCTCCTACTATCAGTCGCTGCGTTTTCTAATCAGTGCGAGACAACTTCACCAGTGAACGTCGGCACTGTCGTAGCATGAGGCTCTGCTATTATGCCAACTTTATACCTGTACATGCTCAGGTGCCGCTAACCCAAGGCAACTGTTATCTACGCTCAGTGATACAGCTAGCTACCGCGTCAACAAATCCACAAGGCTTTTCGGGCTCTCCTTCAATGAACCGGCGGCCGCATTCGCCAATGCACGTTGCGACTGGATGAACTTGTTATCTTAACAGTGTTAAGCGGAAAAGCCTTTCATGACTACAGTCTATGCCTGGTACAGGCTGCACAAAGTGGTGTCCATTAGGATCCACAGTTTCGCGATAACACTGCTCGCAGTAGGCAACGCCCGACTCAAGGAAAGCAAGCGGACGATAGTCCTGGTATTTCGCCGCGTTTTCCAAAGTACAGGCTGCCTTGCGAGACCAATCGGCTCACCTTCCACATGGCTTCACGATGCTGCTGCTTCTGCTGCTGCTGTTGAGAGCTGCGGTGCTACGACTGCTGCGATGGTGAGATCGCTTGTGTCCAGACCGTCGGCCAGGCGGCTCTTTTATACGGTCCACGTCGGTGAGACCGCACGGCGCTTGGCCGGGATACATGCAAAAGACGTCGGTCCAGATGCACTGTGTTCAATCGCTTGTCTTTTTAATTCGTTTAATTTCCGGCCTGCCTCCGCCGCGTCGTTGCGCCCTGCCTTGCTGTCACTTGTCCCGTGCGTAATGGGACCAGGCTTGGGCAAGGGCGAGTCTGTCAGGTGAGTCGCCTCTCACGCTGTCCTGAAATCATATCGTTCAACGAACACGCTCGCTGTTCATCGATACTTTCAACGCCGCTTTTCGAATGCCGAATGGGCTGCGCGCACCGATCTGAGCAGATGGTTGCGTCTTGGCGTTTGCTATGGACGGTCTGTGGATGTCATCCGGCGTCGTCTGGGCTAATGAATAGTCTTCTAGAAAGTCCAGGGATATTTGAAAAAAGAAACTCTCAGAGCTGTTGTGGTGTGGTTAACGGTATTATCTATTTCAGCACCTAAATTGTGGACGTCGCCTGAACATCTTGTTTAGTCAGGAGAGCACCGATGCTTTCAAGGTGCGATTACTTTCACTTCCAGCTGTTTCTTTGCATCTCTTCTACCTCAGAACTACGTCGCTCCGGAGTTTAGCAGCTGCGATCTATGTGCAGGAAGTCGCTTACTCAAAAAAAAAAAACTGGTCACGGGAGGGTCTGTTGTTCTACATATGAAGGTTGCGACAGCCGTAAATGTAAAACATTTTATCTTATTAGGGTTTCGACGTTGTTAGCGACAATTGCTTTTTTTTAATAACGACGCCGAAGAAACCTGTGCTGGCAAACGTATAAGTTTGACACCACAATCTTACCAGGTAGTTTCAGGAACAGAATTTTTGTTTTTCTGGTAACTTGTCTTGGGATGGCGTACTAGCTTTGAGTCGCGGAATTCCAGATACAAGCCAACCATACGGTGCACGATTTGTAACTGTGCATTTTTTTGTGTTTTGTAGAGGATGTGCAAAAGATATGGCTCTAACAGTTATTGCGGAAATTGAGGAAAAAAGTGTAGCCCATGCAGTCGATTCGTCATCGTAGTGGCATTTATCTACAGGACATGCGGAAGGGCCTTCTGGTTGCTGACTTCTGACGGTTTCATGCATGTAAGTCTCGTTATAGGGGCGGCTGTTATTAAGCAAGGTTGCAAATGTGCGTTCGAGATTCGTATTCTAGAAAATAAAACTTTAGACTACGTTGTGCTTTTCCTTTGACTTAACGGAATTTTCACTTTGCTGAAGGTTCACTCAAACTCTTGCAGCCCAGCATGCTTTTGGGGCACCGGAAAGGTGATCCTGACGTGAAGATAGCATTTGAAGAATTGTTAATTTCAATATGCCTGCTCAAGGACTCTTGTATGGATCGATATAAAAGGTGACTTTAATTGCAAATATAGCTTGAACCAACGAAGAAATGCAACTGCCAAAAGTCGTGCAGATATATTTAGTTCCGTACTCAGACACACGAAAAGTAAAGAAAAAAAAACAATACCAGATTGACTGAAGGGTAGGCAATATTATTAGCGAATGTTGCCAGCTAAAAGAAAAGTTGACTTTCGAACTAAAAGCTTTGTAAACTTGGTCCGCCTTGTATACATGCGACCGTTTTACAAGCAGGACATTCCCGCAAATAGGTTCGAGGTAAAATTAGTGCAACCATGATTCATTGAGGCGTTAGAAAGTATCATTGGCTTCTGTTGGCTCAAATATGAAACACATTCGCCGAGCCGGAAACGACCACAGATCATAGCGTAAAATGTACCGAGAAAAGTACTTTCCTTGTGTATAACAACAGTGGCGATTCAATGTTTTATTCCGTCGTCTTGCTGTATACGCCCACTCCGCCGCCCTGTGCTTTCGCGAGCCGAACGCCCGTGCTCGTGACCTATCTTCGACGCCGTTCGATTGTATTTGCGGCCGCGCGGTCTTCTTGAGCCCTGCAGCCTGTCGCTCTGTCGCGTCGTGCTCGTGTCATCGACGTACCCATTCCCCTTTCTCCTCTGCTCGCTCTGCGGGGGACGCGGGAACATCGTTCCGGTAGAGCGAAGGCCGGACGCGAAACATTGCATCACCAGTCAGCTAGCATAGCGTGTAGTTGAGCCCAAGTACAGCGAAGCATATACAAACACGTGGATTAAGACGATAACACCACAACTGTCGTGATATTGGTCGGCTTAGAGGGATGCACACAGGTTAGAGTGTGTGCATGCTGTTATGCGGAGAGTTTCCTTAATGCATTCAGTACGCGTTCGATCATCGAGAGGGCTCGGGTACCTGCGCAGATGCTGACACGGATTTTCACATTAAAAACGCCGGCAATTTTAAATGAGCGCATTCGAAATGCACAGGACGCGTTTCGTATTCTACAGTGGAGTGGGAGCGGCTCGTGTCGTCACGACGCACTATTGCACACCATCTGGTCAAAAAAGAAAAAAAAAAGATTGCTCTCGTTTCACATTTCGGGTCGATTTCACTGAACATCCCGCCCAGAAGCTCGTTCACGTCGTTTTCTGCGTTCATGCGATTACCCCCGCTTACTCGAACTTGTAAACATCGCCTCGTGGAAGCACGAGGACAAATGCTAAGGAACGAACTCGCGGTATTCTTCGCTTTACAAGCCACGAAGTCTTAGGTGGAGTTTTTATTAATTGCAGATTTCATTGCCGTACGCGAGAAAAAAAAATGGCGTAGCCTGCACTGGATGCAAAATGCTAAAGAGAAAGCGGAGCTAATAGCCACTTGGCTGCTCCTGCTTTGCTACGTTTCCCAAAGGTTTCCTTTTCTTTTTCTCCCCTTCTTTCACTATTTCGTCTTGTTCTCACTTGTTTTAGTTTTATATTGATGTATTCTTTGTCTACGCATATCTCTATTTCTTCCTTCTTATCCATTTCTTTCTTTTCTAAATTTTTCTATATTTATTTCTCTCGCTCCCCTTTCTATTTATTACTGTATTTTTCTCTCGCTCTCTGCTTCTTCCTCTATTTTTCTTCCTCTCGTTCTCTCTCTTTTCCTTTCCGTGCTATGCTTTACCCTGCAGTCTCTTCGATGCTGGGCTGCTGACCTGGAGGCCGCGGGTTTGACCCGGCCGCAGTGTTCGCATTTCGGTGGAGGCGAAATAGTGATGATGTGATATGTGGGGTTAAACGTCCCAAAACCACCGATTATGAGCACACGGGCTGTTAGGAAGGGCGCCTCCGACGACGTTACGAAGGGCGCCACGAATCTCACCGCTGCAACCATTGTTACGAAAGACGGCGACGCCAACACGGTCCCGAAGGCGCCACTGCTTCGAACTCCGCCGGGAAGGTCACCAGCCGTTTGGTAGCATGCGTTTCTCAGCTCGCGACTGCTTCTGCGCAGAGCTAGTAGATGAGCGGATGAGACGACGGTGAGTTAAACAAGGTTTATGTACAGCATATATACAGAGGCGTTGCAAATTCGGCACTGGGGCCGACAGCTTAGAGACCCGAAGAGCCGAGCTCTCTTCTCTGACACATAGATCTACTGCTCGCGACGCGCCGCAGGGCTTTTTTTATATGCACCGGGAGGATTCTTTGAGTAACCTAATGTCCAACCAGAAGCGCCGCTGGCCGTGAGGTCAGAACCGCCCAATGGGGTCGCCGCTGGGCCGCGTCATTTTCATCGAATCTGGAGCCGCTGCGCTGCACGTGGCTGCACCCAAGGACGAGTGACGTCGCCACGCATTGCGTCAGACTCGCCAGACAGGAAGGCACCGATTGCTTCGACGGGCTCGCTGGCTGAGGTGACTCACTGTGCGTGCGCGGCAGAAAGGCACCGCCGCGTGATGACGCCGTTGAGTTGTTCGCGTCAGGCGGGCTCGCGTGCTGGCCTTGACACAGATTGCCTTTTTCAGAGGCATGGACGTTCGCTGTGGACTCGCAGGCATAACAGGGCCCACAACATTTCCGCCTCCATCGGAAATGCAGCCGCCGCAGCCGGGATTCTATCACGCGACCTGCGGGTCTGCAGCCGAGTATACCTTAGCCACTAGACCACCGCGGCGGGGCGAGGCGAAATAGTAGAGGCCCGTCTACTGAGCGCTGTCAGAGAAGGTTAAACAACAGGTGGTCTATATTTCCGCAGCTCTCCACTACGGCGTCCCTCATAATCATATCGCGGTTTTGTGGCGTGAAACCGAATATTATTGTTATCTCTTTCTATCCGAGTACTCGTCTCGCCAGCCAGAGTTATGGCATCTATAGAGCAAAAATGATCGCATTCCGCGCTGGGGAAATGGGCGGACGTGTTCGGACAGTGAAGCAGAAGATAAAGATAACGACCATGATGAAGAAGATGAGGACAAAGATGTTTAGAAAAAGTGTTGAATGATTTTGTGTACTTGGTACTCTACTATGGGAGAGCATAAAACCAACCCGTGCGCCACACATGATGTGTTTAGAAAAAGCGGTTAACGGTTTTGAGTACTTGATTGGTACTATACTGCGAGAGAGCATGAAGCCGTCGCGTGTGGTGTTTAGGAAAAAGTAATTAACAATTTAGAGTACTCGGTACTCTACTGTGGGAAAGCTGAAAGCCGTCCCTTGGGCCTAAGGCTGCACAAATGGCCGCTAATTGCGAAGTATTGCTGTTGTGTTCAGAAAAATAAAACTGGTGATCGATGTAGATAGAGTACTTCGTACTCTACCATGGGAGAGCACTAGGCCGTCCCGTGGGCATCTGATTCACAGATGACGATTACTGTAACAGTACGTCGTGTGTTTAGAAAGAGTGGTTAACGATTTTGAGTACTTGGTACGCTACTATGGGAGAGCATAAAGCCGTCCTGTGGGCCTCAAAACCAAGTCAAACCGAATACATGCTCCATATGTTAAGAAAATAATGTTTAACGATTTCGAGTAC